CGCTTTCATATGCTACTTTATAACTGCTGCACGTATAATATTGTCACTATTTAAATCTAAGCGAAAGTTTGTCACAGTACCACTAATTAATTGTCTATGTTTTCGTTTCTCACGGATTCGATTTTCTGGCTTGTTCCGAGTCAAAATTATTTTCGGTAAAGTCAATCGTTTAACATTTGGTAGGACTTCTTAGATGGTGGATCAGACTTTTGAGGATACATCGTTGCACTGAACGATATAACACTGGGATTTCTTGAGTAGCTGAGTAACGATCAGCTGCCTACGGAGCTCTAAATTATAATCAAGGAAGTATTATTAGGTTACCCACACTTTTAACATTAATGTTTAATCGCAAATGCATACAGAATTGTTATGGGGAATCCTCTTGGAAAGTGCTTGCTTTGAAGATATGGGAGCAGACACACATTGTGACATAAGGATGGGTCTTAGGGAGACGGTTTGGATTTGAACGGAATTGCTTCAGGATCGTGTTCAATCGCATGATCTGATATTCGCGGGGTATATATTACCAGAGTGTTAGTAAATTAGTTTAACCGGAAACTACCCGATGTTACTATTTTCAAAGCGTGTAGTCCAGTGCAATCTGTTTATAACTTTCACCAGTCTGATACATCAGCTGCTGGTGGTGATATTTAAGCACGGAGAGAACATGATATTTCATCAACGCCATGTTTAGTAGGGAGTACTTGTAGGATTAAATTTAAATTTTGACGGTGAGAATTAAACTTAGGTTCGGATTAGCGTCCAAAAACTAATGTTTGTGATGAATCGTGGGGTTTCATAACAAAATAAAAATTGATCTAGTGGCCACTTTGGGAAGATCCTCGAAGAATGTAATAAGACGCGTAGAGCGTCTGTCTGTAAAGTGTTACTCGTACGTCCCAAACATAACTGAACTTACGGTCTGAATTTCATTGCTGTTTAGGCGGTTGACCTTTGAGTATGTAGAGTGGATGCAGTCTGGTGTGGGAGGCGAAGCTACGTGAGTACCTGCAGTTACATGCTACTAACGTCTCGACAGGCCTCGGCCCTGAAATAACTGGGCCTCTTTTAAGCTGAACACACGATGCACATTATTGATTTGCGTGTTCATGCAAGCCAACAGAAATTACATAACACGTCATCGATTTTTGCTACATAAACTTGTTCTGTCTTATTTTTAAACTGAGTTTTTAGTCGCTCACGTTGAATTCCGGAGAAGAATAATCCCACGAAATTCCTTTTGTTCAACTCAGATTTTTTTTATTCTCGCTTCTGTTTTCCAGAACGATAATGGATGAGACATTTTTGCACGGATGTGAGACTTGAACTCATGCTAGGAGAATACAGATTGAGGATGATTAAGAATTGGTGCTGAGGAGCACATTTCGATCTGAGAAGGAAAAGTTACAGAAAGGCGGTGAAAATTGCAAGATGGCAAATTTAATAATTTGTACTCGACCGAGTATTGTTAGTGTGATAAAATGAAGAAAGATGAAATGAACAGGGAATGTAGCATGCATAAAAAAGGAAAGAAATGCAAACCAAACTTTTAACCAGAAAACCTTACGGGTAGGTATTGCGATAGATGCACAAGGATACTATTAAGATAGATTGAATTGACTCAGGATAGGTTAGAGTGGAGAGCTGTTGTAGACGTGGTAATGAACCTTCGGGTTCCATAAAAGACTGAGGGTTTCTTGGCTACCTGAATGACTAGTGACTTTTCAAGGACTCTGCACCAGTATGCTGATGAAGGTGCATGAAGGATAATCTTTTCTTAAAAGTGATCTGGCATATTAAATACTAATTACGCGTCCTGATAGAACGCAATGCCCGACATTCCAAATTTAGAAACTAATACCTGAGTTAACAATAGTGTAATAAAATACTGGTGAGAAGATGCTGGTTATATAACCAGTGGCACCTGTGTCCTTGTCGTAATGTATAACGTAAACTGGTAAGCTGTTGGATGTTGTCCTTTATTTACATTCATCTGTATGCACAACCTACTCTCATACCTTCCTTATCAGTCAGTTTAAAGAAGGAACTGTAAATGTTTTATCAGACAGTTATTCATTGGCGCTTACCTGTTAAAACAGGGCAAAATAAAAACAGCTTTTATTGCGTGTTCTACTTACTCATTATCTATAGAAAATACAGATTACAGTATCACATTCCCGACGCTACATAGTCTGAGCTACTGAAAAAGCGTCGTTAAATAAACTACAAAGTGCCACATTCGTCCACCGGAAAGGACTTCTTTTGTAAGCACGATTGTCATCCATAATACACTGTATAACTTCGGCTTTCGGGTGTGAGCTATGTCAGATGTTAAGTATTAACCACAGTTTCGGCAAACATTGCAGTTGCCATCTACAGGGCGAATGTGTGGTGGGGAGGGCAGGCAATAGGTGATGAGTTAGTTAGATCTGATGATGCTGATTGGTGGAGCGGACTATGCGTACTACATGGCCCGTCTATCCCACCTTTTTTATTTCGTAGCCCTAATTATAGTAAGTAGGCCATATTGTTCATCAAGTATTCAGAGAATGAATGAATAATGTAAGAAAGTGACAAAGGAATAAGGAAAGAAAGTATGAAACAATGGAAGGACAAGCGAAAACAAAAGTAAAATTAACTGTATGTACGTACTGTTCAATAACAGTATGGTGTATGTAGGTTGTGTAGTTGGATTTTTTTGACTTGCGATTTGGATTCTCAAGTGAATACTTCCGTATCTAGACATTAATTCCTCTGTTAAACAGAAATCTGCCTGAATCTGAAAGACTGTGTTCAGCTCCATTGTGATTTCGTTATTCGGTGTTCTTACCGTAGCAAAAATCACAAAATTACGCTGTGATGTTCGTACTGAATTCCTCTTAAACATGAGTACACAGAAAGGCCCTGCCCATGTTTCCACACCCTATAATCGCAGTACGTCACGTAATGAAGTCACCGTGTCGTAATCATTGGGATGTGATAGCTGATAAGACATTCCTCCGTAGCGTTAAGTCTGATGAGTGGCAACATCTAATCGCTAAGCCTTACAACCAGGGCTGTGGAGTCGGTACTAAAATCTCCGACTCCACCTAAAATTGCTTCCGACTCCGACTCCACAGCCCTGCTCACAACAAACTTTCGTTTTCATCTTCTGATTCTCGGTTCTTGGCTGTTTGTGATGTAATAAAAGTGCGCTAAAATACGTTTCTTTTTCCTGTTTTCTTGTATAATGTCGTTTCTTTTGTTTGCAAAACAATGATCCAGACAGGGTGGCTGTTTCCATACTTTACATACCAGCGGATCTCCACATTTCACCGTACGGAACTATCCTTTCCACGCACACTAATAACAATAACAAACAGCAACAAAAACAACATTGTGGTTGAAACTATCATTATTTGAAGATATCTATAGACGCGCTGAATTGGAACTTTTAAGAAATTTAGACCCTGAAGCAGTAGTCATACTTCGAATACAAGTTTTGGAGTTACGCTCTTTGTACCCTGATTTCTACAACAAATATGAACATGACCAGAATCAGACCGAGACCGGCTATCCCCGTGTTCGAGTAATCCAAAAACGGCAAGCTCATGACCGTGCAGTTATTTTGAGTGTTAAATGAAGCTTGTCACATTACACAGCTACAAACAAACTCTTGGATTCCGGTAAAATAAAAACCGACATCACAGTGAAGTGGCTAGCACTCCTACTTTGTGTTCGAGAAGTGCCGGGTGTAGGTCTCGACCTAGAGACCGGCTAACGTTGCAGGTTCTTCGTTGTTTTTTTATCAGATCTCCAGGGAAATGCCGGGATAACGCCTTAAATTATACAACGACCGTTTCCTTTCATATACTTTTCAATTCATTATTCGTCCCATCATTTGACGTAAAATAGCCTTTGTTACTGTCATTGTCTTTAATACACCACAAATATTCATAACCAGCTGTCGGGTACCGGACACATATCGAGTTGACGATGCCCCGAGAGGAAGCGCGCACATTGAGGTTATCACTCCGACCGGATGGAAAGTCAGCATGGGTTCATTCTACGGCCACTTGGCAGGCTTCAACAGGTTTGCTATCTGCACCGCCACTGGCTTCCTGAGGCAGCACGCAGGCCATACGCGACCCCCACACGATTTTTAACCCATGACTGACTTTGGGAAAATATAATTGACAAATTGCAGAACAGATTCATGTCGATATTAAAGCAGAGCCCTTTCTTAAATATTAATCCTAACGTTCTTCCTTCTAAAGAAATAGAAAACTGGTCGTCCATGGTGACTTTCTGAGTTGTGATGCCGTGTAGCCTTGCTTCAGTCGAAGCCCTGAAGATGGAGGCAATACATTTCCCGAAATGAAAGTATCTACCTACTAGTCATCACAGCTCATGTCACCATGGATATGAGTTCTGAAATTGTTACATGCGGACGGAAAGACATGGAAAATTTGCAGCTTTCATTTGCAAATGCAGGTAACAGCTTTTCTTTCTTTGTCATGTTATCCAGATCACCTCTGTGGCCCACCCAGCCACCCACACAATGGCTACTAGGGGGAAAGTGACCGGAATTTGCAACTGACCACTCATCTCCCTCTAATGCTGAGGTTAAAAATGTACCTCTACTGCCATGACACTGCGACAACTAAATGCATGCTCAGATATACAATTGAGTTTAGGGGACCCAGAATCTCCTGTCCTTATAATGTTAAATTACTTAAAAATGTAAGGAACATTTTCTCTGAGATTATTAAACTGCAGGGTTCATTTATCACACCACCTAATATAATTCTTTGTCTTTGACACAATGAAACTGGGTGCATTGAATTTTACTGTTTGATACATTTTAATAAGGAATTATGTTTATTAATTATTATTTTAATATTTTACTCCACAAAATTGTTTTTCTTCAATGTATATTCACAAAGCCAAGTTAAAGTACAAACAAATGTTGAAATGTGAGAAAATGTTCCTGGAGTACCAAAAAGAACAGAACTTACAGGAATTGAGCTGCAATGAAGTATCACACTTCTCAGTACATTCCAGATGGATTGTCATAGTCTTCATGTACTTCAGCTTTAAATCTTCTTTTTACACCTTTTCTGTTGTCTTGTCTTCTTCTCCTAGTTATTTTTTGCACTTTCAATATTCCTTCTGCTTCTTGCAATCATAGGTTTTGTTATGTTGTCCAGGCTCTGTTCTAGTCCTTGTAACACTTAGTATCACACTTTGCTATGTTTTTCTTGCTATATGATACAACTACATCATACACACTATGCAATGTTTTGATGCCCACAGTCAGACCTGAGAATGCAGATCCAAATTACATTATTCATACTTTCATTTATGTTTTATGTATAATCACAGAGGAACTTTTGCAAATTTCTCATTCTGTTAGATACTGAAAAATTGACTTCATTGCTTTCATCACAGCATACGGAATGTTTGAAGATGTTCATTATAATTTTCTTTATAGTGATACCTATATAGAGAATTTCAGTTTATATGGTACTTGTACAGCTATATTTTCCTGGATGGCACAATCCATTTTGTGGATTTTCATTTGTCTAGGCAGATTGGGAAAATACTGCTAAATAACAGACAGTAATTAATTTCTCTTCACTGCTTTGTAGTTTAAACACAAAATCGGGATTATTCAATTTCGGTGTTTGCACTTCTAACCTCACTTTACAACTATACTCGCATGTTCTTCAAGAGCCAGCAACTATTCCATCCGTATAACTAGTTTTGGTTTCAGTTCGTAAAAGCTCCATTATTAAACCTGGGAATCTTTATAGGGAAGAAAAAACAAAACCACGATACTTCAAAATCAAACGGCATTTACACGGAACCACGTAACTCCTGAATGTGGCGCCACAGTTTAGCCACATAACAAACTTTCCCATCTCAGACAGGGCAGCCACATCATAAAATATACCTAGCCCACAAAAGAAGTGACAGCATAATATTAAAAGACAAAAATCAGTTACGGATGATTTATGTGCAAAATTTATATCTGATAACTTAATGCCCCTTGTTTTATCAAATTAAAACGTAAGACTTTTATACGTTTGGGGGGGGGAGTTCTGGGCCCTTTTAACGGATCCCAACAATGGAAGAGAGGTCATATAGAACATTTTGGAAAAGAGGGGGAGGAAAGAAAGTAGAAAGAGTAAAAAGGCTGAGGAGAAGACGAAGAATAGGAGGAAAATAACAGAAGACTTGTGTAACGGTGTTAGTTTTAGCAAGTAGTTGATATGAATCATAACAGAACTTCATGGACCACGACCTTGCTGACAAACAGTCCGGGCGGTCCAGTGCACGTCAGTGACAGCTTCAGGCAAGTCCTGGGCAGGATGTTTCTCATTCACCTCTCCTCACAGCATCTTCCCTTCAGTACTGCGATTTTTTAGAACTAGACCACTTACACTCTTGGATGTGAAACCAGAAGAAATCTTATATTATTGTAAACACTGTGCCTGCTATTGTATCTGGAAAGAACTTATGTATATCATTGCCGCCGTGATGTTATCGTTTCTGAACTGATTGGGCCTGAATGACAATTCTTTAAACTGCTGTAACTGTATGTGAATCCGGCGGTATATTATCTAAATTTCCTGAAATGTATGTGTAAATTGAAACAGCTAAATTTTAGTAAATAAATGGAAGCTCGGCATTAATTATGCCCCAGCCGCTGTACCCACGGTGAAAGAGACCCCGGTTCCTATTATAGGAGACTAGGTGGATCCCTGAGTCAGTCTGGACGTTGTGGCGATGATACAAACCCTGCCCCTGCCGAAAATCGAACCCCAGTCGTCTAGACCACAGCCTACTCACAATACAGAGTTAACGAAGAGGGTATAAGCGAGCCCATCTGTTTTCCAAAAGCGTTCGTTGGGATTTTGAATACCTCATTGACCTTGTTCATTGTTGCAGAAATTTGCTGTGACAACGCTGATCAGACTGCGAATACTACACACTCAGATTAGTTTTACTTGTATTTTGTTCCATATAGTACTATAAAATATTGAGCAAAAATAAAAATTGTAGATTTTAACGAGGTCTATATTTCTAAACCCATAGAAACTGCACGATAAGCAGTTTTTTAATCGCCATTTAACAAAATTAAATTCGCCCTACACCCGGACCACCAGTGCTAAATTAAATGGAAAACCGTTGAATATGAAACATGCAGATGGACAGATAAAACTTAATTTTAGATACTTAATGAAATAAGTAACACAAGGATGTATTTACAATTACCATCAGTCATACTCCAGTAATGTATGTATACAAACAAACAGTGGATGAAAACAAGGAAGTGTAGTATTCCCACTGTTGCTGACTGCAGTAGTGAATAACCTCATTACTAAATTTAGACGAACACGTACAAAATCTAACAAGAAAACGACGACCTTTGCAGTCAACGTCCTGATAAAGGGGAACAGATGTACGGTAAACGAAACGTTCATTAATTTGTGCAGATTGACATTTAATTTAAATAAAATGCGTATGCGAAGAATACAAGATATTTAGATACTGTTATACAAACAAACATTCACGAAGAAAGTGGTTAAATTCAAAATAAGCTCAGGGCTACTTAAAAATTAAGGAGTGAAAGTAATACCACAGGGAAGAACGAATGGTCGACCGATAGAAGAACCCAGCAAAGTTCAAATTTTTGTCACGTTGTGATGGCATTGCTTTGGAATGCTAAGAGGTTAAGACGTAAACTACAGACAGACTACACCGGACACTTTAAACCAGTATGATTGTATGGACTTTCAGACATAAAGATAAAATTAAAACATAAGCACTTGGCATGAAATTCCAAGGTCATCATAGAGAAAATAAAAATGGAGAGAATTAGGAGTGGGACACACAGAGAGTAATTATACGTGATGAAAATATTACAGTGGTTTGGACATGTTAAAATATTGGATATAAAGAATACAGCTACAAGAGATGGTGAACTGGAAATGACAGGAAAACATAAACCAAACGACGACTCTAATCAAGATGACTTAAATAAGCATTGAAGCTTCTCCCATTCGTAGACAACATGCTTCACGAAGATGACTGTCTTCTGGGATATTGCACCGTGTACGTTGGTAGTTTACAGACGTTCCAGAGGTGCTTGCTGCCTCTACCATCAGGGTGATAACATTCTCACCGCCGCGAGAACCTGAAATTCATAATTCCTCTTTATATGATATGGTGTTCTAAATCGTCTACTTATTTCATCTCTGTGGTTTACCAAACACTGTATGCAGTGACTGTAACAGAACAGCCTTTAATGGCTCAACATCGTGATGGAATATAATGGCGGAATATCAAGCTCTTTTTCTTTGAGCTTGTCGATCTACCCGACTGCCTGCTTGAACTAACCAAAATAGGACTCTGAGGAACATTACTTGATGGCTTATTACGGAATTGTGCTGTGTACCACATCTGTTTACGTGCAGCCAGTGAGTCCGTGCCGCCGAGCAGAACGTCCACTTCATGGTCGGTTTATTTCTTTGTGTTTCAGATTTATCCAGACCCGGACTCGGAAAAAGCCATCATGGGCTCTGTGGTGTATTGTATCCACCACAAAGAAGGCTGCAAGTGGACGGGGGAGCTGCGAAAACTCAAGGTAAGGAGCTGTTTCGTTAATTTGTTGGCGTTTGTTAAAAATGTGTCTTCTAAAACGTTATCTTGTTTCCATTTGATAGAGGACTCTTTGGTTGTTACGTAACATATGATTCGAGATGATATCGGTGGAGTCATTCAGAAGTTAAGACGATGCTTAGGGCTATATCGATCGATGTATTACAGAAGAAGCGTCTCGTAGGCATATCCAGAGCTGTCTCGTCTATTAATTCCTTAATTCTTTGCCGAATTTTTACCCAGAGTAAAATTAAACCTCAAAATATGAATATTTTTCTTACCGGTAAGTTACAACTGGCACTTCGTTTGGAACGGAGTCGCTAAATAACAAACGCCACAGCCCAATCATTCACAAAAATGCGGTTACATCAGTCTCGGTTAATCTTATTCTCCGAACGACTCGGCATTGACATCTGTCAAGTAATGGCGAAGACTCCAATATTTTGTGTCTGGAAGCAATCAAGGCAGACAACATGAGATTTCTAATAGCTCTTTATACGACACTGCCATATTTTGCCAAAATATCGTATAAACAAGATTATAACTTCTTACACGGCTGGAAAAGGTCCTCTATCTGAATATTGTCAAATGTAACACTGAGAAACTGGATGTTAGTAGAACATTAAAGAATTTGTTGAAGGACGGTGTGAGAGAAAATACAAAGAATTCGTTTGTTCCTGTCCCTATTTCGAGACTGTTACCACCAGGGGAAAGATTATGGACTTCTGTCATTTCCACGCTTGATCTTAACCCGCCAAAATTCTTGATCTCGGCAATTCATCATCCACGTCCGAACCAATATCTTTGTTTTCTTAATGATCGGGTGTGCAAATTCAATAGGAAAGCACCTAGATAACCATGGTTCTCACTCTACAAATCAACTGTGTGAACCCAAGAGCACAACTTTCATTGTAATAAAAAAGACGAGAAACACGGCATTGATATCTAAAACCATTTAAACCATAGGAGATGAGCTGATTTTTAAAGAACCAAATGGACTCGCGGGCCACATGTTGGACATTGTCTTTTAGTGTTTTAGCAGTGTGTTCAGGTTTCATAATGACTGGAGCGACTGTAGGATGTGAATGTTGCAGAACGGAAATGTGTGACACTCGAATCCGCAGCATGGGGTCACGTGCCCAACAAAAAAGGATGTCACGTCACTATAACAGTTGATTGTGACACGAAAATCCAAGTTAAACACAATTTTAGTCACACGTGAATTATCATAATTGACACTTGAAATTCGCTGTCAGGCGGGGTATTATAAGAAGGATGTCACGTCCACTCTTACATCTGTTGCAGATTAAACATTACACGGGACATCAGCATAGTGGTACAGGCTAAACTGTCGCGTTAAATAGGGATGTCAGGTTCAACGTTGATGTGGTATAGTAGAATCATCATAAACACACGTAATTCACCGGTAGAGCTTTAACCTGACGTGCCAAGTTGTGGTCGTCTAGGTCAATGCCCAGTGCATGGTCGGGTGTTAATAAAACTACAGATAAACAAGTAAACTGAAATACTAGCTTGGCGACATTTCTATGGGCCCGGGCACAGCTTATGAGTTTGAGGTCCTTACACTTATACCTCACACCCCCTCATTCCACATGACGCCAACCCTAAACATACCAGAACACATCCGTACGGGGGCCTAACTTAACTGCTCCAGAGTACTTACGCCCCTGAACTGGAATTGCGTAAATATTTACGAAAGTATACTTATTAAAGAACTAGGGAACTTAGTTTTGTATTGAAATGTACAAAATAAGGCACTAAACGTATTTAAATTAGTGGTGTCTTTAAATGGAGCATTCTCGACAGACAAAACGACTACTTTCTCATGTGTCTCAGTTCCTCTGATTTCGCATTGAACATGGAGAGAGTCTGGTTTTCCGAAACGCAGGCAACAGAAACGAAGAATTTGTGTATTTGTAAATGCCCGTACATTAAAAATATAATTGAATACTGATAATATAAAACTGACCACAAACTGCGACCAAGGCGAAAAGGCTGTCTTATTTGTTTTCCAAGTGTCAGTTGTTTCTTGCAGATACTTAAAACTTATTCTGGGAGCAACACAGCCAGGTTCAGTACCTGTTTTTCCTACGACTTCTGCATCGTCTGTGAAAAGTACGGTTTTTCTTGACAGGCTCATCTTAATACGTGCAAACACGATGCTATTCCCTGTACCAACAAATGCGGAGCACAGATACCACGTGTCCTGATGGAGGACCATCTCAAGTACACGTGTCCACAGCGGCGGGCGAGGTGCGAGTTTTGTGGTAAGGACTTCACGGGACACACATTGGAGGTAAGTGAACGTATGTTCCAGACCTCCCACTGTTCATCTTATATACAAGAGTCCTACTTCCGGTTACAAACTAACTGCCTACTGAGCTTTGAGAAATCGGCACTGGTTACTGCCTGTTGCCAAATCTGAGACCTCTCCCGTAGATCACGAAAACGTCTAATTAGGAGGATAGGAAAAAACCCAGATCAAAATTCAAACTAGGTGGGTATAAGATGTGTTGTATCTGAGTAAATCATGTTTGGTAGATTGCGAAAATCCTCATGATGAAGTAGAGACAAACTACTTGATTTGATGGTGCAGTTTTCCTTCAGTAGTTGACATGTATCAGCTGGTCAAGAAAGTCCCTCTTTTTATAAAATCGAAAGGTTTATTACAGTGATAAGAAAAGCATTTGTTGGATGAGAACTGAATTTTAATCCACTTTACATCTTCATAACTTATTATTGTAAGATTCATTTTAATATTGTATATGGTATGGTTTTCTTGTTTTATTATGCTCCTGCCCACAGTTCTAAATTAATTCCTTCTTTCTTTCAGTTATCTTAACAATGTCATATGAAGAGTGCAATTTCTCGTTTCAGCTCTTGATGTTTCAGATATGGTATTCACACTGTAAATTTCATTTTTGCACTTGCCATTTTCAGAATCATTCTGGCAGTTGTGGGTTTGAGCCAATATACTGTGAAAACAAGTGTGGTATGAAAGTCCAGAGGCGGCACCTCACACAACACAAAGCAGCAGAATGCTCCAAGCGTCTGGTGCCTTGCCGCTACTGTAGCAAGGAGTTTGTTGCAGACACCCTTCAGGTGCATCATACAAAGTGTGGTAGCTTTCCTGTTGCCTGTCCCAACCGTTGTGATGTTTCCATTCTAGCACGGGAAGATCTAGATCTGCATCTTAAGGACCAGTGTCCTATATTGGGCATATGCTGTCCCTTCAAAGATGCTGGTTGCAGATTCAAGGTGAGTAAGGCCCCTCTTTGTATATTTGTGGCCAGTTATTAGGAAAAGATCCCTATGTACACACTAAATAGCAGGTTGGATGGGCCTTAAAGGTTGCTTTTTCTGGGAAATAAACCATGGTGACCCAGGCCATAGCAAGTCACTTTACCGATTAAGCTATCCTGGCTTTTATTTTTACGTAATATGCAGACTATATACATCTATTTTGGACTTAAAATGTGACAAATGATTCAGAAGTCTGAATAAAAGTGCTTACCAAGATTACTTCCTTCTTAATTCAATTCTAAAGGGTTTTGACGACGGTAGATCTCAATTAAAATTATTCGTTGTCAGGACTTTTCAATCGTCTGTTCCTTAAAATCCACGACGTTTCAGAGACAGAACCAGCCTCTGAAACGTTGTGGGTTTTAAATTAGAGACGCTGGAAAAGCCCTGATAACGAATAATTTAAAGTACTTCCTTCTTGCTCATAACGAAAGACACGATACTGGAATGCTACAGAAGTGCAGACTGTACAGTGATGTCTGGCATATGTTCTCAGGGAAATCGATATGCTCTGGAGAAACATGTTGATGAGAACATAAAGCAGCACCTTGTGCTCATGTGTAGTGTGGTCACCAAGCAGCAGCATCAAATCGCCAATCTGAAAAGTGCCCTCTCACGACTGTCCCTGAACTATTCAGGTAAGAAACAGAACAACTGTTCTGTCTCCGTAAATTGTCACATTAAGCAGGCTTGCGCTCTGTTAAAGTTACTCAGTCGTATGTACATAATCACGTGCTTTGCATAAAATCCTATACAGCATGCGGATGTCAAACACATACCATGCAAGATGGTTATAAATGGTCAGCTTTGTGCTTGCTCAAGCTAAAGGTGTAAAGGTGGACAGTCACACTAGCACAGAGTTCTAGAATACACACAAATTTCAGGTCAGTTATTCCTGGTTCAAAAATCTACTTATCATATGAAATGGTGCCCAATTTTGAGTCTGTAGCTATTGCAGTCATTGATCATACACGTTTCATTTAAAAGAATCAAATTTTGATGGAACCATTTTATGAGTTCTTTATGATTTAATTATCAGACAGCATACATTGCACAAAAATAAAATATTTATACAAATGCACTTTTCAATATGCATTATTGGGGCTGTCACTTGTTTCAGAGATTATGTATACTACTGAATATTTACCCAACTGCAATTCAAGGGCCTTTTGAATTCATTTAATAAGATACAGCAGTTTATCCATAAGAAAATCAGATATAAAGAATAATACATTACAAAAAGTATGAGAAAATATACTTTTGGAAACAGTCTTGAATTCACATACCCAATATTTTGCTCTGGACCATAGCAAAACATGACTGAAGTGGAATTATTCTTTGGAAATATTCATATTATGTTGTATGGACTTTCAAGGTTTGCCACAGTTGCCTAATCTGATAATGCACACAGGTCCTTTGTAGTGATTACAGAGACTTAAATATTTCTTCATTATAGATTTTTTTTCATGGAGATATTTGTAACAAAAGATTTACTTAATGGGGTCCGCAGTGGCCACGCGGTCTGAGGCGTGGGTCTTGTGCCGCTTGATCGCGGGGACCGTGGGTTCGAATCCCACTCAAGCCATAGATGTTTTTCTGTGTTGTGCTGTCCTGTAAATAGGTAGAGGCCTTGCGACGGGCCGATCCCTAGTGCAAGGAGTCCTACCGAATGTCCATAGATCAAGCCAACTAAAAAGTACCGGAAAATGTACAAACATTGTTAAACCGGAAAAAGAAGAAGATGATTTACTTAATTTGTATGAAATGTCATTTCAGTATAAGTTTCAATCTTATTGGTCGCAATCTGGTTGCAGGAACGCTCATTTGGAAGGTCAGTGACTACACATCAAAACTGACTGAAGCAAAAACAAAGGAAGGAATGGAGTTAGTTAGCCCACCCTTTTACACTAGTCAGTATGGATACAAGTTGCAGGTATGAGAAATTTCTTTCAGTAATACTTCTTTCTGTATTTGGTGTAAATAATGGTAATAGTTGTATAACAGCAGCTGTACCATAAAAAAATCCAAGTACATTTAATTGCACATGAGTTGGTGTATTATCTAACCTGAGTTACTTGGCTTAATGTCCACTGCCCGAAGTTGAGGTTTGCGTTGATGGTCTACGGTGAGCTGTGGTTGCGTTGTCTATGCTTGGATTGTAAACTTCAACGTTGCATGGGTATTACTGTCAGTTTTAAAAAAGTCTGCAGGGTTTACAATCATTCTGTCCAACCAGAGTGGCCATCTATTGCATATGAAATTTAACTTTGTTTCTGTTTAGATAATACACCAACTCCCACAATTAAATGATCAGTGTGGTATTACATGAAGAATGCTTTTATAAAGTGTGACCTTTTTATGCTCAGTGCTTTATAACAAAGCATCATCTTATAAATTGTATGATTTAATAGACAGACTAATGAATTAATGTTTTTTTCCACTGATGACGACCTCATGAGGTCCAAACGCGTTTGGCACTAAGCGTTTTTCAAAGTGTAAACAGTTTTGTTTATATGCATGATTTTATATATTTTAGATAAATATTCAACCCTTCAGGGTATGCAAGGTTTTAAAATTATCCTGAGGGATTTCTATGGTTTTTCTTGCTTCCTAATGCAGATGCCAGGACAGCACCTTAAGAGGCCATGATCATTTCCTTCCATATCCCTTCCAATCCACCATTCAGTACTCATAATGAAGCACAAACCACACACCCAGTTTTCATTAATTTTATTCACTTCGAGCAAAAAACGCATGAAGAGGAAGACTTACCTCTCTGCATTGTTTGTTGTAGGCATCTGTGTTTCTGAATGGTAATGGTGCTGGAGAGAGTTCTCACATCTCAATCTATATCAAGATTCTACCTGGAGAATATGATGATCTGTTGCGCTGGCCATTCTCCCACTCTGTCTCTTTCACTCTCTTTGATCAATCAAGTGTTCCTGAGAGTGTAAGTTTGCATCTTATTTGCTGCTATTGCATTAAGAAGACACTCAATGACTTTGGGATTTTACTGTCATTGGCTCCACCTGTAGAAAGTAAAATTTTTAATTTCTTATTTCCTTATATAGGGCTTTATGTAGTAGTGTTTATTCTATATGATGTTAATGAAAATAATTCATAGTTTACTCATTAACATGGGTTGTGTACACTTCCAACAAATATTTTAATGATGAACCTGCAAAAGCATTTTATTTAAATCATTGCCTTGCATAAAAAAAGTTATTCAATTCATTTTGTCATGCTTACCATAGCAGAATGTTATACTTAAGGCTGTGATAACAAGGCACTAGCAAAGCATGTCATCAGACAATCCTCTCACTTCCATTAACTTCTGAAATGTTAACATTTCTGCTGGTATCCAAGACATAGGATTTTTATATTACTTGATTTTTCTTGCCACTACTACATCCATGTAAATTAGAAGTTAGTATCTGGAACTTAACTTCAATATTCCTTTTTCATCTCATGTTTCCAGGCCTGCAACATTGTTGAGAGCTTTATACCCGATCCAACATGGAAGAATTTTCAGCGTCCAAGTAAGGAACCAGATTCATTGGGCTTTGGTTTTCCCCGTTTTGTGTCACATGAAATGCTGAAGAAGCGGCATTTCCTCAAAGATGACACAATGTTTATTAGGGTGAAGGTTGACCCTAGCAAGATAGTGGCTGTTTAAACCATGTCAGTGAGTCTTTAAAAATTAATGTCATATGAATTTCATCAGTAAAATATTAAAAAGCACATTACCACTAATGTGATTCTCTCAAGCATATTCTATCTGTAACTGGAACATGCAATGCAGGTTATTATAACAGTTTTCAGCCGAATTGGCGGTTGAAGCGTGCACCAATCACATGTACTGTGCCATGGTAGGAAGTAGTGGTGGTAGGTGGAGGGGCAAGATAGTGAGGAAACAACATGGAGACGTGCCAGATGTAGCATCGCGGAACATTGGATTCCAGTGAATGGTTACAATACGCAAAGAACATGTAAGAAATGGCAACAACGCAGTGCGGCTGTCGATGCTTCTACCGTGGGGGTTCTTAACAGACTGAGGGCTCCCTGCTTACCAACATACCTTCTTAGCACTCATTGGTCACTCACAAAGAGCAGAATTCAACTCAGCCGCCAATTCCGCTGAAAAATACTATAGTAAAGATCAGTATCTAGAAACTTAATACACTGATTCTAGAAAGTGTGGTGGGATTAATGTATCAGCACCTCCCTACCTGGAAATATAACATTGTTTTCAGTTAACTTTTTATGTATTGATACATGCAATAAGCAGTGTTATCAGAGTTTTGCTGTCTTCTAATTACCATGAATCTACTTAATTTATATTTTCCATAAACAAATGGCCGGAATTACCAGAAATTTGAAACTAAAGCTGTTAAACTTTCAGAGAGAAGACAGGGTAAAAAAAATGTTTTTCTTGTACAAAGAATGGGTTATGTATTCAGCATTTTTCAGGCTTGTAGATTAGAGATTTCCAGATTATATAGTATGCCTTATTTCCTTATAACTTGTTGCCCACAATTTTGTTGAAGTCTTCATAAAGATACATTACGTTACTTGAACATTAAATTTGTATTCATCACTGTATATCAATTTTTCTCAATATGACCAGCAAATTACACCAAAATTAGTGTTAAGTCACATGTATATATTGAACAAGTCAGTATATTTAAATTTCTGTATGTACTATATCTTACAGTAAAGACAGAGATATAACACAGTTAGTGACCAATAATTTCTTATTTCTTGTGATTACTGTTATAAAATAAACTGGATACTGTTACTTTTAGTATGAAAACAAGTCTTTAGTTGGCTGACATCAGTGTTGTGATGTGAGTACATCCTGGTTGCTGAAGGTACAGATTCAGATATGTAATAAGTCATCCAAATTTTTTTTGCATATTGTCAATCTGTGTTTGGTAGTACAATATGCTCTTAGATTGAAATGTGACAACTTTCTTCATGGTTCTGTTCATGGTGTCATGTATTTTCAGATATGCATATCTTGTGATTTTTACATCCATGTTTAATTTATACTAGTTAGTTGTTGTATGTGTTAATATAGTGAGGTAGTAATGACTAACTGTAGAGGAGGAAAATCTGAACTGAACAGTTTAATTACAAAGAAATGTTAAAATTAAGTACAAATAAATAAACATTAACAATGCCAGTCTCCTACATATCATGCCATACATCAGTATTTCCATCTTTAACTTCATGATGCCCCATTAGTTTGTATGTGGTAACTCCAGGTGAATATATTTGGGACAACATTAAAAATTATGAAAATGTGGAATTTTATTTATACCTTCTACCCCCAGTAAGAATATTAGTAAGAACTGTAATATGTATATATGTACATACATCATTATTATTGCATTTAGTGAGTTTATTTAGAACCTCAAAACTAATATTACATCATGTAACTGCCAAGTATAATATACAGAATTCTGGGTGACAGGGAAATAGCCAAAGATTATGGGACTAGGGAAGAAACATTTATGTGTAATCTAGGTCAACTGCACTTCAAGTTATGAATTTTCAGAAAGTAGAAAGTCCATTTAGATGCCAGAATCACAATTTTAAAGCAAATTATATATTACCATAACTCAATACAAACCTTCCATCATCTGAACCCTACAGTCCAAATCTGACATTGTCCTCCATGACTACAGCTCTCCATACTGTCCTCTCTGTCTTATGCTTCCAGTTGATAAAATCCTTGTAATCATTATTTAACCATTTCAATGTGATCTATGTGCCCCTATTTATCCTTTGAGCATATTAAATATCAGTTAGTATGCTCCACATCACCCATACTAAAAATATCTCCAACCAATCTCAATCTACTATATTAAAATATATTTTCATCCATTCACATTTTGGTCAGGCTGGGTCATCTCATGGAAAAGTTTCTTCTATTCTTTACCTGTTGTCCCATAAGTAGTCATCTTGTAATGTTCATTATTTC